ACGTCGAGTTTGCCGCTGTTTGTCTGGTTCATACTTTATCGTATTGTACGAGAAATTAGTGGTGTGTTGTCAATTGCGTATCATTGTGGTCAGCTTTAGTCTAGTAGCGAATAGTTCCCATTTTGGTTGAAGAAGTCGTTTGTGGGTACTTGCTGTGATCATCTTTGAGCGTGAAGTCGTTGTCTGTAGTCGATGGTCTGTAATGCGTTGACATATTCAATGTTGTGTTTTGTCATCGTGATGTTCGCCAATGTTATTGGTTTTATCTTGTTTCTTGTTATCGTTTGTGTTCAGAATCTTCGGTTCTGTCTGTCTCCCCAATATAGGAGGTGTGGCAGTCAGGCTAAACTACCTTGCCAAAGTTTATTATCGTTCGTTTGGTTGTTTTGTCCTGACGTCTGTTGAGTGCTTGTAGCGTTGTAATTGGTTTAAGAAAGAGATTTGTGTTTTTATGGACGTAGATACGCGAGATGTCTCGAACTGCCTTTGATATAGTTATTGTGTTATTGTCTTGAGTTGTTCGTTTCCCCTGGGATCATGTCTTTCTAAATATAATTCATATAAAATGATATTTGTAACAAAGCAATAAAAATAGTAACAAGCAAAGGGAGTGCAAACAGTCGTAGAATAAAGTCTGTCATTATAATCTTGGCTCTGCCTTGTTTCCATGAAACAATACAAAGATTTCGCTGCGATTGAATCTTTTCTCAATTTTATGGACGAATGTTTCATGATCAGTTTAAGTTCATCAAAAACTCATTCATAGAATGATTACCATAAGGTTGCAATTTGGTTTTTAAACAAAACATAAGGAATCTAATCTTACCTTACAACTCTTACAGTTTAGAGTACCCTCTACTTATATGTGCATCTGTTATCTTTAAAAGATTATCGCTGTCATGATATAATATCATAGAGAAAATATATCTATAATATGAAGCGAAAACTTTGTTTACATTTTGTATTCTTTTGAAATATTGTCAAATGAAATTTTGATCAGTTGTAGTTTATATTTCACGTTGAAATTGTTCGATAATCAATGTTTTATCAAGTTATTTGGAATGTCATGCAACTATTTAGGGTGGCAGTGCTCATACAGTTGTGTGACGGCCTTAAAGTGTCTAAAAGTAATGTTGGTTATTTGAAATTATCAAATAAATCACGTCGAAAAGGTTATTTAAATTACCCAGTTGTATGATGTTTATTATTTGTTATAATGCAATAAAAGCATGTCGGCAAAATTTTGTTATTTGATAAAGTCTTTAGTCATATAAATATACGTTCCATAACTGACGAGTTTTTGTTGTATAATACTATAAAACAAACAATACGAAATATCTTTGTCGGCGTCAATAAAGTGATAATACAAACTTTTGACGCCTCTACCAAGCCTCAATATGAACATTGTCTTTCATCGATGTCTGTCATCTTACAGGCAACGAATTTGTGTTTTAATGACATGAATGTATGTTAGGTGATTATTTGTAATTCGTAAGCTGACTGGCAAGTACGATTTCAGTGGAATCACTGATTGTAACGCGGAACTTTTGGTACGTTTGTTTTAGAAGGTACGTAAGCGTGATTTAATTGTCAATTTTTCTTGAACTGGTAGTAAATAATTTGCTGACCTCAAAATTTTACACAGCATTCTATGAAATTTGCTGGCTGTCTACCTAACTGATTATTGTCGATTTCAGTTAACTTTCAAATGGCGGTTGCCGAGTTACTTTCTAAGTAACTTGAGTTGACAAGCTGTGTGCTTGAGTACTGAAGTTGTGAACTAGGGTTGCGAAGTACTAGCAAACGCGAAGATCTTTGGCCCTTTAAACATTTGGCAATGAATCGTTCAGTAAGCGAAGCTTTGCAATTCTAACCCGTTTGACGGCCCTCTAAGAGTGTTATAATGCGATACGCCGTTTACATTATGTAATAAATTTACAGTAAATGGCACTAAGAAATATCGTTGTGCAGTGGTACCCTGCATGTGCCCTCGACGTCTGTTGCCACTCGTAGCTACCGGCGACTCATCAAACAAATGCATACGGTTGCAATCAATCAATGAAATATTTGCTACGTAACTTCTAACTTCTTCATAACGTTCCGGCTTATTCGTCGAGAATTTGACTTATTATCTTGTAAAATGGCAAGATCATTTTCAAAATTCTACTAATGGATGACCTTCTACGTATGTTTGCTGGAAGCACAAACTTTGTTATTTTCTAGGTGTTGCCTAAATAGATGGTTTATTAATTTTTCAGTCAATGCAATAACGTCATCTGTGCGCGTTTCGAACATCCGTTCGCTCTGGCGGTGCAATAGAACCAGTGTCTACCCATAGATCTATTATATTTGATATGAGTCTTATACGGTAGGTATAGTTGTTTCGAAATGTTTCTCAAACGCTCGTTATTTAACCGCCTTTCAAGTATTTCATTTCTTACTTCTATTGGTAAAGCTTTTCGCTTGCACTGAACGGATCATTGCCAAATGTCAAAGACAAAGACTTTTCGTGTTTCACCCGGCACTTCGCATTCACAACTTCAGTACTCAGAACACAATTTCAGTACTCAAGTTCACAACTTCGTACTCAAGTACACAACTTGTCGGCTCAAGTTGACAAGTTCATATCTATTCCATAATGAAAATGTAGTTGGCAACATGAAGTAACTTGGCATCCGCCATTTGAAAGTTGGCACTGAAATCGACAATGAAGGTTATTTTACGAAGGGTGTTTTACGAAATTTCCAAATAATTTATTAACGAACTTTGGTCAATCGAAATAATGACAAGTATTGTGTACATTCTTTGAATTTGAACACAAAACTTAGCGACGAAAGGGTTAGCCAATTGACGAATCCGTCTCATCTTCAGAACGAGACCTCTGCCGCGTCAGACAGCCCTCACAGCAATTAACCATCTTTCAATATTTTAACGTGAATGATCTACATGTACGAGGCATCTAACAATGATCATTGTTTTATCAAGTTATTTGTACATTCAACATGTACATGCTTTATTATTATAATTACTGTTGCATTTTGAAGACATGCTGAAAATATTGTGATGACATTCGGCAAGTATAAAGTGTTTGCATGTGAAGTCAAAACGGCCCTTTGAGTGGTGATATGCAAAGTTTCGATGCTCAACTGAGCATCAAAATTAACAAAATCTTTCGGCTATCTGTAAAGAATGGGCAAATGGAATGCAGGGATGAAAATCAGGAATGAGAAAACTGAAGTTTTGATAACTTTAGTCCTTTTCATGTTATCAACCAATATCCTGAAATACGAATGTCGTTTGAAAAGTCATATTCGATTAATCAGTTATTGCTTATCTATTTTAAAGAATGCGTGGATGAATGGCCTGGTGTAGAGTCCTGAAGAAGGACTGTTGTGTTTGACAACCTTAGCCCTCAGAAATGGTCCATTTCAGAGTCTGGTTTGCCGTATTTTGGTCTGGTTTATACTTCATCGTATTGTATGTGTAGAGAAATTGTGTGTTGGTGTCGATTGCGTATTGTTATTGTGATTAGCTATGAAACAAATGCGAATAGTTCCTTTTGAATTGAGGTAAGTTGTTAATGTTGTGATCCAACTTTTGAATGTAGGCCGTTGTCTGTAGTGTGGTCATTTGCTGCCGTGAGTCACTGTCAATGTTGTGTTTTGTCATTCGGTGATGTTCGGCAATGTTATTGTTTTTATCTTGTTTCTTTGTTAGTCGTTTGTGTTCAGGAAGTCTTTTGACGAAGTTCCTGTCTGTCTCCCCGATATAGGAGGTATGGCAGTCGGAGCTAAACTGCACCTTGCCAAAAGTTTATTATCGTTGGTTTGGTTGTTCTTTGTCCTTGAATTTTGTTAGTGCTTGTCGTAGCGTTGTAATTGGTTTAAGAGAGACACGTGTGTTGTATGGACGTAAGATACGCGAGATAGTCTCAGACGTACCTTTGATATAAGTTATTGCTGTTGTTGTCTTTGAGTTGTTCGTTTCCCTGTGATCATTGTCTTTCTAAATATAATTCATATAAAATGATATTTGTAATAGCTAAACAATGAAAAAAATAAGTAACAATAAAACAAACTTGCAAACAGTCGTAGAATAAAAGAGTCTGTCATTATAATCTTGGCTTGGCCTTGTTTCCATGAAACAATACAAAATTTCGCTGCGATTGAATCTTTTCTCAATTTTATGCACGAATGTTTCACATCATCAGCTTAAGTTCATCAAAATTCATTCATAGAATGATTACATTAAGGTTGCAACTTGGTTTTTTAAAAAAAAAACATAAGGAATCTAATCTTACCTTTTCTTACTGTCAACAACAGTGGCAGATTTAGAGTACGCTCTACTTATATGTGCATCTGTTAGCTTGTAAAAAGATTATCGCTGTCATGATCTAATATATCATGCCGGATTTATCAACTAGAAAATATATCTACAATATGAAGCAGAAAACTTTTTTTATATTTTTGTATTCTTTTAAGTATAATCAAATGAATTTTCGATAAGTTGTAGTTTATGATTGACGTTGAAATTGCTCGATAATCAATGTTTTATCAAGTTATTTGGAATGTCATGCAACTATTTAGGGGTAGCGGTGCTCATACAGTTGTGATGTAACTTGGCTTACAAAGTGTCTAAAAGTAATGTTGGTTATTTGAAATTATCAAATTAGAAATCACGTCGAGAAATTTGGTTATTTGAAATTACCCAGTGGTGTGATGTTTATTATTTGATATAATGCAATGAAAACATAATGGCAAAATTTTGTTATTTGATAAAAGTCATTACTATTATAAATATACTTTTCATCAACTGACGAGATTTTTGTTGTATAATATTATAAAACAAACAATACGAAATATTTTTGTCGGCGTCCGATAAAAGTGATAATACAGACTTTTTGACGCCTCTACCAAGCCCATTATAAAGACACATTGTCTTTCATCGATGTCATCATCTTGCGGAAGTTCAACTTAACGATTTGTGTTTTATGACATGCGTGTATGCATCACGTTATCAATTTCGTAGGTGATTATTTGTAATTCGTAAGCAAGACTGGCAAGTACGATTTCCTGTGGAATCACTGATTGTAACACGGAACTTTTTGGTACGTTTTGTTTTTAGAGGTACGTAAGCGTGATTTGAATTGTCAAATTTTTGCTTGAACTAAGTAGTAAATAATTTGCGCAAAATGACCTCAAGATTTTACACAGCACTTCTATGAAATTTGCTGGCTGTCTACGTAACTGATTAAGAGGTTATTTTACGAAGGGTGTTTTACGAAATTTCAAAAGAATTTATCAACAAACTTTGGTCAATCGAAATAATGACAAGTATTGTGTACATGCTTTGAGATTGAACACAAAACGTATCGACAAGAGAAAGGGTCAGCCGTCAATTGTCGAGAACTGTCTCATCTTCAGAACGAGACCTCTGCTGCGTCAGACGGCCCTAACACCAATTAACCGTCTTTCAATACTTTATTAACGTGAACGATCTACATGTACGAGCACCTAACAATACTCTTTGGCTCAACCATGCTTCAGTTCAAAGCTAATTTGATATTCATGTCATGTATCATCTAAATAATTTTCGATAAATTGAAGTTCATGTTTTTATAATGAATTAAGTTGAACGATGATCATTGTTTTATCCAAGTTATTTGTACATTCAACATGTACATGCTTTTGTTATTATAGTATAATTACTGTTGCATTTTGAAGACATGCTGAAAATATTGTGACGACATTCGGCAAGTATAAAGTGTTTGCATGTGAAGTCAAACGGCCTTTTGAGGTGGTGATATGCAAAGTTTCGATGCTCAACGGAGCATCAAAATTGACAAAAATTCTTTCGGCTATCTGTAAAAAAGGAATGTGGAAATGGATGCAGGGATGGGAAAATCAGGAATGAGAAAAACTGAAATTTGTTGGTTAATTTTGATAACTTTAGTCCTGTTTCAAATGTTATTAACCGATATCCACAAAAATACGAATGTCATTTGAAAAAAGTCATATTCGATTGATCATGAGTTATTGTTATATAAAATTTCAAGCGCGTAGATGTAGATAGTCCTGATTAGTAGAGTCCTGAGAAGGTCTGTTGGTGTTTTGATAACCTTAGCCCTTAGCAGTGATCATTTTCAGAGTCTGGTTTGCCGTATTTTTGGTCTGGTTCATACTTCATCGTATTGTATGTACAGGAAATGAGTGGGTGTGTTCACATCATCAGTTTAAGTTCATCAAAATTCATTCATAGAATGATTACCATGAAGTTCGAATTCGATATTCTTAAAATAACATAAGGAATCTAATCTTATCTTTCCATACTGTCAACAACAGTGACAGATTTAGAGTACGCTCTACTTATATGTGCATTTGTTAGCTTGTAAATATTGTCTGATGATGAATTTGTAACAAATTCGAAATATTACTTTTCAAATAAAATTTCTTGTTTCTTTCTCAAGTATTGAGTAAAACATGAATCTTTTATTCGGGTATGCTTCATATTATATGCCAAAATATGCTTCAGTAATTTATTTTGACGTACTCTAGATCTGTCACTGTTGTTGAAAGTAAGAAAGGTAAGATTAGATTCCTATGTTTTTCAAGAATACCAAATTCCAACCTCATGGTAATCATTCTATGAATGATGAACTTAAGCTGATGATTTGACACATTCATACATAAAATTGAGGAAAGATTCAATAGCAGCGAAATTTTTTTGTATCTTTTCATGGAAACAAAGACGAGCCAAGATTATAATGACAGACTCTTTTAATATTCTACGACTGTTTGCACGTTTGTTTTATTGTTACACTTTTTTTTCGTTGCTTTGCTATTACAAATATCATTTTATATGAATTATATTTAGAAAGACAATGATCCCAGCGAAACAAACAACTCAACGACAATAACAGCAATACCTTATATCAAAGATACATCTGAGACTATCTCACGTGTCTCTCATAAACAAATTACAACGTTGCGACAAGCACTAACAAACGTCAAGGACAAGGAACAACCAAACGAACGATAATAAACTTTTGACAAGGTGCAGTACACAAGATAATCTGCCCCGACTATCACACCTCCTACATCAGGGAGACAGACAGGAACTTGATGATAAGACTTACAGAACACAAACAAGTAACAGAGAAACAAGATAAAACCAATAACATTACCGAACATCACCGAATGACAAAACACAACATTGACGGTGACTCGGCAAAATGCATTACCACAGCGCTTACTGCAGACAACGGCTTACATTCAAAAGTTGGATCACAACAATTATAGGCACCTTACAAACGACTTATTCACAACCTCAAAAAAAAAGGGAATTAAGAACATTTAGACTAACCACAATGATAATACGCAATTTACACCCACACACCCACTCATTTCCTGTACATACAATACGATGAAGTATGAAACAGACAAAAAATACGGCAAACTAGACGCTTATTCCTCCTACGACGAGCCAGTCAGCTCCACATTCGTGCCTCCACATTCACAAATATGGAGCTGGCTTTACATTCGACTTGAATATGGAGCTGAGACAAGTAGTTTCTAAACAAATTCATCTTGCCAGCGATGGGACTTAATATTTTTAAAATGTCCGTTTTTAATCAACATGTTATTTAGTTTGTCACCAAATTTCAGAGCATGATTTTTATTTTTTTGTCCGCAATAGCCCTTCAAATTTCACTGCTTATGTGCGCCAAGGCAAAAGATCAGCGACCGTGTCGATGCGTATATTTTTAAAATCTTATTTTTTCGCGTTCACGATAAAAATCCCTACGATTTGATTCATGACCGTTCTAAAAAAGGTATTAAACTATCATCTCAAGTAACAAAGCTAGTTCTATATCGCAAAATATCAAAAATTTACTTCTGTAAAATCAAGCATATAATTTCACGCATGTCCCGGTTAAAGTTTATAATACACTTGCGTGAAACGACAACCTTGTTATTGTTCAATTTTCGATGATATATCAAATATTCGATGATATATTGTTGTACTTTGAATTATTTGCAAGGTATAACAATCAAGATTTCAAATATGTCTGCCACACACAATGCAAACTTTGTTCTTAAACATTTTACAAAAATATAAATAAAAAAATAAAAGTTTACAAAAATTTTCAGTTTTTTTCAGCTATGTCTCAACCTGAAAAACCTGAGTATGTAATTTTTGAAGAAGGCAAACACCGATTGTGGTCCTACAACAGTAATAAAGGAGGAAGTTGCCTTAGTTTATCTGTGAAAAAGAATGGTATGAAAATATTTTTCACATGATTTTATCAAATCCGTTATCCCCTTCACGAAAAAGGTATTTTGGTTATCAATTAGAGAACAATCGTGTATTGAATATCTGCCATCCTGGTGGTTTCTACAGCTAGCAGTTTGTTTCTCTTTAAAGACTCAACTAAAACTTACTAAGTTGTCGTTTTGGCTTAATAATTTTAACAAACCACTGAAGTTCCACTTGAACTTACTGACTGAATCCTTATTCTTGCACTTCAGTAGTTCTAAAACTTTATTCTCCTTCAAAGAAATCTTGAGTAAAAAGTGCCCTCGCTGGACTTTCATTCACGAGTGTTAAAAAAGATGGCTAAATAAGACAAAAAGGTTGAATGCGAGGCTGGAGCTATGACCACCAACATTAGTTAATTTTATCAAATTTGAAGACGGCATGCGTGTTCTCTGATAATGTATATGCAAATTATTTGATTTAGTGCATTATGTTCAAAACAAGATGAAAGAAACTGTATTAAACAAAAAATCGACCTTTTTTGAAAAAGGACCTCTTGCACCTTAAATGACTAACTATATAGATCCTTAAATCGCAGTTGATGTAGTAATGCATCCATTAGTTTTAGGGACGAAATTACAACGTTCAGTAGGGGGGAGTGGTGAATATTTATATATTTATCTCGGCTTTACTGATTTGGTTTGTTAACGAGTATAAAAAAGCTATTATAAAGAACGACGAAGTTTCTTTTTTATTATTGCTTAATAATTTCAAACGTGTTTTTGATCAAAACAACTATAACTCTGACTTTACCAAACGCAACACTTACAATCACAATAAACCGAACGAAACCAACAATTCAACGACACCAGCAACAATAACTTACATCAAATGTACGTCTTAGACTATCTCGCATATTTTACGACCATACAACATACGTGTCGCACATAAACCAATCACAACGTTACGACAAGTACTAACGAACATCAAGGACAAAGAACAACCCAACGAACGAAAAGGTGCAGTTTACAAAATAGACTGCTCGAACTGCAACGCCTCCTATATTGGGAAACTGGCAGGAACTTAAACATAAGACTTACTGAACACAAACGAGGTACAAAGAAACAAGACAAAACTAATCACATTGCCGAACATCACCGACAGACAACGCACAACATTAACTGGGACTCGGCAAAATGTATTACGTACAGCACTGACAGACTGTTGACAATGGCTTACATTAGAAAATGGATATACCCACCTGGAACAACCCTCCTGTCTATTTAATATATGAAATTCCCATTTCATATATGAAATTAAATGTGAAATTTTTTTAATGGAATATATGAATATTCAGTTCCTCCCCTCCCCCTACCCTTAACGTTCTAGTCTTGCACCTGATATGTTACAGCCAGATTGATATTTTTTTACATTGCAGTTTCCATAGGTAAAGTAAAAGCGAATGGAGAATCTGAAGGTATAATTTTTCTTGGTATTGTCACGGCATTTACATTAGCTTCACATAAATCAATCTAGTAGACATTTTATTTCTTGTTATTACCAATGCAAATTTATACAAACATAAAACATGCACCGTTGTTTGATATTTATTATTCAAAGGAATACCTGACATATTATAAAGTAGGCATGGTGTGTAACAAATAGTAATTTTTAGAGCACTAAATTTTCAAGTGCTAAAACGATATGCAATGTTCAATTATATACATCTCAAAAAGGGACATACTAATTTTGAGTTTCTTCATTTTTAAATCAGAATTGTGACCAGGGATATACCGGGCGGAAAGCGAACTTTAAATATAAATATCAAAACCCAGCAAAGTGCTTTTAAAAGAGCCATTTAAAGCATAGAAAGAAATATTTATTTAAAGTGTAACGTTTCGTCTTGACTCTCAAGACATCATCAGACAATATTGAATTACAAGTATAGAGGGATATATATAATAGCTATTTACATAATATTAAATTACATGGTGGGATGAAAACGTGTTAGTAAATATTGGATAAGATGGTATGACGTGGGATAAGTAGAAACGCGAAAGAAACAAAAAAAAACAAACAAAACACAAACAATCACAAAGTATACAGACATGAGGACGGACGAAGTTAGATTAAAGCAACTGAAGGACAATGGAGTTTCCTTGAACGTTAAGAGATGGTTTCATTTTGTTGATTAAGAGGCTTTCGTGAATAAGAAGTTCTTGTGAGTTTGAGCATGAAGAAAGTATTTTAAAACCCTCGAAGGTGGGGGTGTGTCCTGTGGATTTAAGATGTGATAGTATGAAGGAATAACAAAGATGTTTAGAAGGTTTAGCAGTGAAAGGGGTGATGCCCAAATGCTCTGAAATTCGAGTGTGTAGGTGGCGGGTGGTTTGACCCACGTACGATGCGGAGCAGCATCGAAACTTAAAAGAATAGACAACATTCGATTTCAGAGTTTTGGGCACTTTGTCCTTGAAAGGAAACAGGCTGGAGAGGCGTTTGGTGGATGGAAAGAAGAATCTTATTTCTCAGTTTGGGAAAGCGGCACGACAAAGGCGATTGATTTGTGTGCGGATTTGGGATGAGTGTAGACCAGTAAATGGAAGGCCGAAATACAGTATTTTCTTGGGTACGGTATAAACAGGTGGTTTGGGTTGAAAGACTTTGTCAAGAAACATTTTTACACAGTGATTAAAAACGTGACAGGAAAATGAATTGGAAATAAATAATTTTCGTGCTTTTTCGATTTCACTTTTGAAGTTTTCATAAGTGGAGCAAATATTAAAGAAGCGATGAACTAAACATAATATTAAACTGCGTTTATATGTTAGTGGGATGAAGCTGTGGGAATTAGTAAAAAGACCAGTGAACGTAGGTTTTCTGTATATGAACGTGAAGAACTTTCCATTAGAGCGATGAATACGGATGTCAAGAAATGGAAGTTTTCCATTTTGTTCGATTTCACTCGTAAACTTAATATTGGGGTGTTTGTGGTTTAAATAGGTACGAAATGGTTGCACATGGTCAGCAGTACGAAAAAGGAGAAAACAATCATCAACGTATCTTCCATAAAGCAAGGGCTTAAAGTGAGAGGGACAATTTTTGAGTCATGCTACTTCATGGAATGACAGGATTATGTTAGCGAACAAGGGTACCAAGGGGCTGCCAATGGCAACGCCATCAACTTGGTGGTATAGATTACCGCTAAATAAAAAATGACAATTCTTAACTGCGAGGTTTAAGAGATTAGTAAAGTTGGGGCGACTGAGGCTTTGAAAAGAATTATGGTGGGCAAACAAATGGTTAGTAATTATTTCAATGGTTTCATCAACGGGGATGTTAGTAATGAGTGAAGAGATGTCAAAACTGGCCAATACAACATTATCAGTTTTGATTTTCTGGGATAAAATTTCCTGGATAAAAGAAAAGGAATCTTTGATCATGAAAGAATTGGACGAGATTGGGGTGAGAATGGGGATGAAAAATTTAGCTATCTTATACGAGTAATGATTTATACATGACAGGATAGGCATTAGTGGTATGTCGGTTTTATGTACTTTGGGTAGTCCATAGACAATACCTATTCGTGAACCTGTTGGGTAGAGTTCGTCATATGTTCTTTGATCAATCGATTTAGATGCTTTCAAGTTTTTCAGGAGAGTCTTTACCTGGTTTTTACGTTGTAGGGTCAATTTGACGGGGTCTTGACTTAAGCGCACGAACTTTGAGTTGTCGGATAAGATTTCATCCATTTTTTTGTTGTA